TGTATTGAAATACCATTGGTATATTTCACAGATCTAGAACAAATAATCCAAAAATGTATATGGAACCAAAAAGACCCCAAATAGCCATAGCAATCTTGAGAAAGAAGAACAAAATTGGAGGCATCACAATACCAGCTGTCAAGTTATATTACAAAGCCACTATATGCAAAACAGCCTGGTACTGGCACAAGAACAGGTATAGGTAGATCAGTGGAACAGAACAGAGAACCCAGAAATCAACCCAATCCATTATGCTCAATTAATATTTGACAGAGACAAGAGCATGCCATGGAATCAAGACAGTCTCTTCAATCAATGGTGTTGGGAAAATTGGACGGGTACACGGGGAAAAAAAATGAAATTATACCACCAACTTACACCATACATAAGAACAAACTCAAAATGGAAAAAACACTTAATTGTAAATCATGAAACCATAAAAGTCTTAGAAGAAAACATAGGCAGCAAAATCTTAGATATCTGTCGTAGCACAATTTTCACAGATACATTGACTAAAACAAGAGAAACAAAGGAAAAAATAAACAAATGGAACAACATCAAACTAAAAAGCTTCTGCACAGCAAAAGAAACAAGATTTAAAAAGCAAATGAAACCAACTGTATCAGATAAGAGGTTAGTTCCCAAAATGTATAAAGAACTCATACAACTCAACAAAAGGAAGACAAGTAATCTTATTTAAAAATGGGCAAAGAACTTAAATAGACACTTCTCCAAAGAGGACATACAGATGGCCAAAAGACATGGAAAAGTGCTCAAAGTCACTAATCATCATAGATTCAAATTAAAACGACAATGAAGTGCCACCTCACACCTGTCAAAATGGCTACCATCAATAAATCAACAAACAAGTGCTGGCAAGGATGTGGGAAAAAGGGAACCCTAGTATACCACTGGTAGGAATGCAGACTGGTACAGCCACTATGAAAAACAGTATGGAGTTTCCTCAAAAAATTAAAAATTGAACTACTATTTGACTCAATGACCCCGCTTCTAGGAATATATTCTAAGAATCCCGAAACACCAACCAGAAAGAATATCTGCACCCCTATGTTCATAGCAGTGTTATTTACAATAGCTAAGCTCTGGAAACAGCCGAAGTGCCCATCAGTAGGTTAATGGATAAAAAAAAGAACTGTGGTACATTACACAATGAAATACTATGCAGTTGTAAAAAAGGAGGGTATCTTACCCTTTGAGACAGAATAAAGGGCCTGCAGAGTATTAGGCCAAGTGAAATAAGCCAGTCAAATATCTCATGAGCTCACTTATATGTAGAATCTAATGAACAAATAAAATAGGCCCAGAGGCATGGAAGCATGGAACAGACTGAATAATATCAGAGGGAAGGGTAGAAGGGGGAGGGTAGGCAGAGAATAACCAAAAAACTTATATGCATATTAGAGGCCCAGTGCACTCAGGGGGGTCTCTCAGCTGCACACCTGCCACAGCATTGCCGGTCAGTGGTCTGGGCCTCCCTCTTTCTTTCTTTCTTTTTTTTTAAGTAAGAGTAATGTTTACTGAGCAATACAGAACTGAGTACTATGAAGGGTTTACCAGGATGGAAATGCACTGCACCCGCCCCTGCAGTATGTGCTTTGGAAGGGCGCCCGCGCCTCATGCCCACAACAACTCCAGCAGGACCAGCAAGGGTGCACCCTGGCTGGCACTCCAGGCAGGACTGAGCTGGACCATGGTGGGTGGGTATAGCAGGGCATGGCACTGTGCCCTTCTCCAGCCTTGCACCAGGGTCAGGGTCAGGGTCAGGGTCAGGGTCAGGATCAGGGTCAGGATCAGGGTCAGGGTCAGGGCTCGGGGCAGGCAGATTGCAGTTTCACTCTGAGTCCCAAACTCAGCCTAATTTTGGTTGCAACTCATGGCTTTTTCTGGCTGCTCAGAGGTCCTTCAGGTGGGTGCCTGGCGGAGAGGCCAGGGAAGCGCCCACAGCTGCCGGGTTGTGTGTCTCTCCGGCCCAGAGCCTCTGTTCTGTCTCCCACAAGCCTGGCCCTAGGCAGAACAGGCCCCTCTCAGGACTACTTTGGTCTCAGCTCTTGGTCCTGGGTTGCTTCCCCTGGTGTGGCTGATCTGAGTTTCACAAAATAGCCTGGCCGATGCTGGCTGTGCTATGAGCCTCATTGAAGAGTTTTTCATGCAGCAAGGAAGAGCCCTCTGGGACCCTCCTTCTCCTCTCTCTCCTTATCTCCTCCTCCTGTGCATCTCCTCCTCCTCCTCCTCTTCCTCCTCCCAGCCCATGGTCACTTCTTCTCCAGCTGCTCCAGCAGTGAGTTGCCTTCTGAGTCGGGGGTCTTAACGCCCATTTTTTCTGCCCCTGAAGGGTCCAGTGGCCAAGTTGCATGACACCTGAGCTGTGGGGCAGGCTTGGTGGGAGTGTAGCACACCCTGACAGTCAAGGGCAGGCTCAGGGTATTGGGAGACCTGGCGGCACAGGTCAGCAGAAACCCCGTGAGCACCGCGAGTCAGGGGCCAGCTCAAGTGTCCAGGAGACATGGCCACTGATAGTTAGGGGCCAGCTGGGGTGTCTGTGACATGTGGCCAGTGGGAGCCATGGATGCCAATAGTCTGGGCCAGCTCGGGTGCCTGGGAGGTGCAGCCGGCAAGAGCTATGGACAGGCATGTGCGCAGACAGTCAGTGCTGGCTCTGGTGCCCGGGAGGTGCGGCTGGTGGTACAAAGAATTTTTATTGATTTTTAGAGAGAGAAAGGGATGGAGGAAAGCATTGATGGGAGAAAGAAACATCAGTTGGTTGCCTCACACACATGGCCAGTATAGGGATAAAACCTACAACCTGGATATGTGTCTTGATTGGGAATTGAACCCACCAACTTTTGGTGTACTGGATGACACTCCAACCAACTGAGCCACATGGGCCAGGGCTACAAAGGAATTTCAAAGGGTCATTTTTCTTAAATGAGGCCACTAACAACTTTCAAGAAAACAGTTTTAATTAAAAGATAGAGTTGAAAATGAGTAAGAATGTGAGAGTGAGACAGTGGAAGCAGAGTATAACTATACTTCCAAAAAGTATAATAAAACAACTTAATTATTCTACAATGAAATATTACTTAAAGTCTGGAAGATATAGTAGAATACTATAGGGCCATTAAAAGAAGCGATAAAAAGAAAACATGCTGACAGAAAAAGATGCCAAATACATTTTTAAGCGTTTTTTAAAAAATATACAACAAAGAACACTTGTATGCACTAATATCAAGCCTCAAAGCATGTAAAGCAAAAAGTAAGAAAAGAACTATAAGAAATGAATAAATTTATAATAATGATTAAGCACATCTTCCAGACTTTCACTAATATTTTATTGTAGAATATTTAATAAACTTCCTGGGACATTCCATTTCCCACAAAGAGCCAAGCAAGTGTGATTCCAGAGGACCTCTGGCCCACAGCACCAGTGGTCACAGCCACATAAGGTCATATGGGCACCAGGTACTTGCCTACCAGCATCCAGGGACTACTCTACTGCGCACAGCCAGATACCCAGAGACCCAGAGACCCAGAACCATCGGGAGGTGGATGATGAGCTCACACATCCAGAGAGTCATAAGAGTAGCTCCTCAACAGTAATGAAAAGGGCTCCCCAGGCTGCAACACAGTTGAAAGGAACTGGCTTTTTACCAAAAGGAATAAAAGTATTTCTATTTTAACTGTTGGCATCACCTTAATAGTGGGTACTCGTTGCATATTAGTCCTGAATTTTCCTTAAGGAAACTTTTCAATGCAACAATTGATTCATCGCAAGGAAAAAAAAAACAGAAAGGAAAATAAATGATAGTGAAAATAAACAGCTACAAACAATGTGAGTGAGAAAAACATATAGTTGAGAGAAAAGTCATGAAAGAATATATACACTAAGATTTCATTCATATAAAGTTTTTAAGTAAAACTATACAATACTTATAGAGGAGCATAAGTCATAAAAATGCAAAGAAATAATTATTAGGGTTGTGAAGGAAAAGGATGGGCACAGGAAGGATTCTGAAGCAGTGGGAATGTCCTTTATAATTTTGTGTTAACTCATATGTAAATGTAATAAACTTTTACCTATCCAATTATATCCTATAAATTAAAATCCTAATATGCCAAGTGCCCAGTCATCCAGTTGGCTGTTCATCCAATCAAAGCATAATATGCTAAGGCCACTGAACTACTCGGTATGACGTGTACTGACCACCAGGGGGCAGATGCTCCCACTGGTAGGTTAGCTTGCTGCTGGGGTCCGGATGATCGGGAATGAACAAGATGGGCCAGACACACCCTGGGGCCTTCCTGCCATCCCTTCCTGGCTGGACAATCTCCTGTGTCCTTTCCCTGCCCTGATTGTGCACCGGTGGGGTACCTCAGCCTCGCCTGCATCTTCTCGCAATCCCGAACCCTTCGGGGGATGTCAGAGAGCTGGTTTCGGCCCCACAGTGGAACGACGGGTCGCTATGATGCACACTACCACCAGGGGGCAGACGCTCAATGCAGGAGCTCCACAGGAGAGCACCACTCAGCCAGAAGCTGGGCTCATGGCTGGCAAGTGCAGCGGCAGTAGTGAGAGCCTCTCCCACCCCCATGTCAGTGCTAAGGATGTCCAACTGACAGCTTAGGCCCGTTCCCCACAGGCCTAAGCCATCAGTCGAGCATCCCCCTATGCCTCCTGGACTGCAAGAGGGTGCAGGCCAGGCTGAGGGGACCCCGCTGCCCCAAATGCAGGAATTTCATGCACCAGGCCTCTAGTTTTCCAGTAAAAGGAAAAAAGTAAACAAAAATCTCCTCCAAATAATGGCTGGGAGCAAAGGCTGTTTACAGCTGAAATACGATAGCACAAATGACATGATGAAATATCACAGAGATGCATAGCAACAAAAAAGGAAAGTGATTGGAGAATAAAAGAGCAGGGATGGTATTTATTCAATGGCAGTTCAATCCAGGTTACAGAGAAAGCATCCTAGACAGAAGTGAAAGAACTTCTTAAATCAGAGACAAGCTTCCAAGGCGAGTTTCCTAAAGAAAAATGGGCACCAAGGGCAAAGTAAGCAAATGTACTGTTTCTTTGTTCAATTCTTCTTTATTTGTATATTTTTGCTAAAAAGCTTCCATTTAAGCTAATCTCAGAAAGGAATCCATTTAAAGTTAATCAAAAGCACCCCCTTCATACTAGAAATTTACTCTAAAAAATTATTGTGGATTTGCCATAATGCTTACTATAAGGGTGTTAAATTAAATATTATTTATAATGGCTAAAAAAGAGAGAGAGATTTGGTTAACTATGCTCTAACCATAAAATAGCATTTGCACTTGTTAAAAGTAGTGTTAGAGGACAATATGTAAAATATTCATAGTATATTAATAAGTAGATTAAAAATATCACATACAATAAGGTCCCATTTGGGGTTCACTCAATGGATTTACCTCATAAAATTACAAGTGGATTTTATTTCTTTTCTTCTTATTTTTATTTTGAAACTTCCCATAGTTACTATATATTGCATTTGTAAATAAGATTAATGATATTTTAAAATATAATTCAAAATTACATAATAATGGTAAAAAATATATGTATTCATGCTGTCAGAGACTGGGAAAATCACATCAAAAGCAGAAATTAAAATACTACTTAATTTCTCTTTATACATTTTTACCCAAATTCTTGCAGAGAGACCAATTTTTTATTTAATTTATATTCTACTGATAATTTTACTAATTATTTAAACCTCTCTTCTCAAACTTTTATGTGCATATGAGTCACCTAGATCTTGTTCAAATGATGATTCTTAATTAGGGGATTTGGGACAGGGCTTGTAGGTCTAACAAGTTCCCTGGTGATATCAATAACTTCTGGTCCAAGGGAGGATCATACTATGAGTAGCAAACATGTAAAACCACATTTATGTTCTAGCAATGAGGACTCAGGTAATTCAGAGCTGATAACAAATCATTCAGTCAATAAATACTTATTGGCCAAACCCTATGAATTTATCCTCTCTTATACTGAAGGGGGAAAAGATCAAAGCACTATATTAAGGTAAACTTTAATGCTAAAGATTCTTTTCAAAAATTAAAAGGGCATCCAGGCCAGTGTGGCTCAGGTGGTTGGGCATCACCCGTGCACAAAGGGTTGCCTGTTCGATTCCTGAAGAGGGGCCTGCGGAAGGCAGCCAATCACTCTCAGATCATGATTCTCTCCCTTCCTCTCTCTGAAAATCAATAAACTACTCTTTTTTTAAAAAAAAGTGCAATGACTATAATGTAGATCATGATTTCTTATTTTCAATGAACATTCCTTTTCTTTAATTTAATGTAATTATATAAAACATCCAACCACAAGTTATGGTATCAACATGCTTTTTAATTTTTTCCCATAATATTCTCTGTCTCCCTTTCTCCCATCCTCCACCCCAACCTCTCCCTTCTCTCTCCACTTCTCTCACTCTGTCCCTCTCTCTCTCTCCCAGGTTATTAAATGCAAAGCAGCCATCGCCTGGGAAGCAAACAAGCCCCTTTGCATAGAAGAGGTTGAGGTAGCTCCCCCCAAGGCACATGAAGTTCGAATTCAGGTGAGTGGGGACTCTCCCTGGGCAGGACACACTAGGCCATGGGTGGGCAACCTTTTTGTGAGTGCGTGCCAAAACCAGCAAAATCTCTGACTCAAAATTCTTCTGCGTGCCAACCCTAATTTTTTGAGAACATGTTATGCCTACTTGATATCTCTTAAGGTGTACGTATGTGAAGAACCTTGAAGAAATAATAAAATTCATTCGAATGACAAAAACACATATATGATGATGAAAAATACATTTATTTTTTAATGTATACATGTGCACTGATAGTCCAACAGAAAACTTTATGACTCCGTTTGATATTATCAGTGGGACTTTTGCTGCTGCATCACTGATGACACAGATTTTACATCAGGTTTATATTTCATGACCTTCAGAGATACGCACGAGCTACTACTTTCATCCATCAGGCTACTCCTATTACGAGACTTAACAAAATTCATCACTGAGAACAAAGATTCACAATTGTAAAGGGAAGATTATAAGAGAGGGTTTCACGTGCCAGCAAAGGTTACCGGCGTGCCATGTTTGGCACGCGTGCCAGGGGTTGCCCACCCCTGTCCTAGAGCTATCCTTGAAGCCATCTTTGCTGGCCAGTGTCCCATTTCTGGCAAGCCTTTTCTTAGTTTTCCAAGGAGGAACCAATTGGAAAGTGGAAGAGAGAGGGAAAT